TAGTTGGTCTAAGTCTCCATCTGAACACAGGAATTTTTTTAATTCCCTAAGTGATTCTAACGTGCAGTCTAGTTGGAGAACAGCTGTTAGACGGTTTCCCACCTAACTGAACTGAGTGGAAGAAGCTGGCACCTTGACCTTATGAAAAATGTGCTTCCTCTTAGGATTTTCCCAGCTGATTTGACATTGTCATGTTAATCCAAGTGTCCCTTTAGGACCAGGCTGAATAAAAAAAAAAAAAAAAAAACCTTTTGCCAGAGCTTGATTTTAGTTTTAAGGGAGCACGTAATGACGATGTGTTCCACGCTGCTCCGTCTCTTATTTCAATGGGAAAGACCAGGATCACTCCCTGGAAGGACCACTGAGGTTCCTAGACCTCACACACCTTGTGGCAGGGTTCTTCAGACCAGAGCCAGCTTCCCTCCTGTGGTTCCCAAAGGAGCTTTTAGTGAGAACTCCAGCAAGCAAACATCTCCAATACAAGCTCCAAAGTGGGGTGCATGTATCCTAGGTTTCGCATGAAACGATCCTGTAGGGTACAGAAAGAAACTACTAATTTATAAGGAAAAAAAGAGACAAAAAGAACGGAAGAGGTACTTGTATTTAATATGTGGACTGGAGTGACCAAATGTCCCAGTTTGCCGCAGACTGGAGGATTTCCTGGAACTCAGGACTTTCAATGCTAAATCCAGGACCATCCCAGGCAAACCAGGATGAATTGTCACCCCAATGTGGACTAATGTTGGGGCCCCACTCGGTATGTGGGACCCATGGTTCTGAGAGTGTCCCCAGGGACAAGAGGAAGTTATGCATGGGAGGAGGGATGATGGTGGTGCCCTGGCTCAGTTCATTCACTTTCATCACATTGTAACATACTGAGGTTTACGGATGATTACAGTGTGTTTGACATTATGGACGCAACACCTTTCAGTGATACAATCTTTATATCGATATTAGACTCTTTTACACCACAGAGAGAATCACTGATTGTCTCATGGCAAAGGCTACGAAGAGCTGTCAAACTTAAAAATGAATTATAGGGGCGGGCCCCGTGGCCGAGGGTTTGGGTTCCTGCGGTCCACTTCAGCAGCCCAGGGTTTTGCCGGTTTGGATCCTGGGGGCGGACATGGCACCGCTCACCAGGCTGTGCCGGGGCAGAGTCCCACATGCCACAACTGGAAGGACCCACAACTAAAACAAATAATATACAACTATGTGCCTGGGGGCTTTGGGGAGAAAAAGGAAAAATAAAAAATATTTTTAAAAAAATGAATTATAGGGGCCGGCCCAGCGACCAAGTGGTTATGTTTGTGTGCTCTGCTTTGTTGGCCCAGAGTTTCACTGGTTCGGATCCTAGGCGCAGACCCAGCACTGCTCATCAGGCCATGTTGAGGCGGTGTCCCACAGAGCACAACCAGAAGGACCTACAACTAGAATATACAACTGTGTACTGGGGTGGGGCTTTGAGGAAAAGAAGAAAGAAAAAAAAGATTTAAAAATGAATTATAGATTTTTTAAAATAGTAAATTTGCTGATTTTTTTTAGTTGATAAGTTGACTATCCAAAATATGCTACCTGCAAAATTTTTTTTTTTTTTTAAAGATTTTATTTTTTCCTTTTTCTCCCCAAAGCCCCCCGGTACATAGTTGTATATTCTTTGTTGTGGGTTCTTCTAGTTGTGGTATGTGGGACGCTGCCTCAGCGTGGTTCGACGAGCAGTGTCATGTCCGCGCCCAGGATTCGAACCAACGAAACACCGGGCCGCCTGCAGCGGAGCGCGTGAATTTAACCGCTCGGCCACGGGGCCAGCCCCCAAATTTTTTTTTTTTTAGATTGACACCTGAGCTAACAACTGTTGCCAATCTTTTTTTTCTCTGCTTTATTTACTCCCTAAATTCCCCCACTACATAGTTGTGTATTTTAGTTGTAGGTCCTCCTAGTTGTGGCATGTGGCCTCAGCATGGCTTGATGAGCGGTGCCGTGTCCACGCCCAGGATCCAAACCGTCAAAACCCTGGGCCGCCAAAGCAGAGCACGTGAACTTAACCACTCGGCCCTGAGGCCAGCACCCCTGAAGAATTTTTTTAATAACAAACACAATTTACATTTAATCTGGCCCATCAAGGTAAAGATGACATTTTGATGATGCTTTTAGAAACTCATGAAATGGGGAAACCATTTAGAAAGAGGAAGTTTAGTAGATGTTTAGGAATGTTTCTGTCATTATACGATACTGTTGCTAATGGCAATGTTTAAATGTAAGCCACCTATAAAAACTCTCTTGTCTTCACACCTTTTTTTTAAGTAGAAGTAGGATTTTTTAGCTTGTTTAAAAATTTTCCAAATAAAGAATTTGAGTGGTTTTAACTCAGTGTGTTAAAAATATAAAAAGGCAAGACTTTGAATGAGTTTGCAAGACTAGTTGACATCAGCTAAGATGGAAATTTACTAGCCAAATTTAAAAATAAAACCTTTGTGTGATTGACAGAAGGACTTCTGAAAGGATTTTTGTAATTTACTTGGCACTGCCAATGGTATACTATTTTTATTTGGATCTAAATATCTTTGTGTGGTATCTTTTTCAGCCGTGACATCCATTCAAACCAAGTACTGAAACCAACTGAATTTAGACCCACATCTAACTGTATATCACAAAGATTTTTAAAAGCACTTAGACATGTTCAATAACGTTTCTCCTTCTAAATATTATTTATAGTTAATGAGGTCAAAAGCCCTTTTATATCATTAATAAATGGTTAAATATTATCTATTTTATGTTTACTACATCTTTTAAGTTTCTATTATTGTGATTGTTTAATAACAGATGTTGTATTCATAGAACAGCTCAGGGATACAATTTATAAATAACTAAATATACATGCATAAGAATGGACAATCATACTGAAAGGAGATCACTGAGCTAGAAAACTGTTTCAAAGCAGAAATCTGTAATAATTCACGATGCCTGCCTAGCCCAGAGTTGGCACTCAATAACACATATTCTCTGAATGAATGAACCCTTCTCAATGTTCATCGATGTTGTCACAAATTGCAGGATTTCCTTTTTAAAGGCTGAATAATATTCCATTGTACATATATAACATATTTTCTTTATCCGATGAGGACATTATGCTAAGTGAAATAAGCCATTCACAGAAGAACAAGTGCTGCTTGATTCCACTTAGATCCACTTAGATACCTCATCTAGATGTTTAGGAATGTTTCTGTCATCATGCGATGCTGTTGCTAATGACAATGTTGAAATGCATGTCACCTATAAAAACTCTCTTGTCTTCACAGCTTTTTTTTTTTTTAAGTTGAAGCAGGATTTTTTAGCTTGTTTAAAAATTTTCCAGGTATCTAAAATAGTCCAGGTATCTAAAATAGTCAAGGTCATAGAAGCAAAGAATAGAATGGCGGTTGCCAGGGGCTAGAGGAACCTGCCACTCAATGGGTATGACATTTAAGTTACATAAGAAGAAGTTCTAGAGATCTGATGTACAACACTGTACCTATAGACAACAGTAATGTACTCTGTATTTAAGGATACGTTAAGAGGGAAGACCTCATGTTAAGTGTTCTTACCAAAATTTTTTTTAAATCTTAATTAAAAAATTTTTTAACCCTTCCACATTAGCCATGGCTGTACATGGAAAAACTGACAAACAGATTAAGAACACTAGCTTATGGAAATTTGTACCCAAGCATTCAGAAAAAACAAGAAGCGTCATGTGTCTATAAGTCTAATAAAGGAGACTTCACTATAATCAGCGGCAAACATCTGTATCAATATTTCCTAAATGGAATGTAATAAAAGAATCTCCCAAATTAATTCAATTCAATAAGGAATTGTTGAGTGCCATGTATTTGACTCACAAATAAAGTAAGTTACTACAAAATAAGTTATCTATGATTTCTGATTTCAAGAAATTCATGTTTAGCTTTAGAATATGTCTTCAAACCTCTACTAGAGAAGAGAGTAGACTAATGTTCAAAGGATTTGAGCCACTTGGTCGGTGATTTCATCATTTTATAGATGCCCACCTTCTTCATCTTGCCACATAGCTCATCTTCTCCTTGCTCCCCTGTTTCATACTGGAAATGGACAGCCTCATGGATCAGAATCTTGTAAAGAACCAATCTACACTGAGCTGGCCACACTCTTCACATTGCTGATCAAGTGGTTCACAATTCCATCACAAACAAGGGTGAGTCACGCAAAGTACATTTTTAAAAGATCTTCCCCTACAGTTGAGTATCAATAAAGCTGGGGGGAAAACCCCTTAAATCCCTTTCTTTCCGTGTCTTTTTTCTGGATTATGATCTACATAGACAATTTAAAAAAAAAAAAAAGAGTGGTGATAATCTAAGGTGAGCTAAATAATTGAGCGTACTATTATCTCCAAAAATATGGAAGCAAGACATATGGCAGAACAGGGTGGAGCATAAAAAACAATAAGGAAGGCAGTGGGCTCAGACACTTAGTAACTCAGAAAACCACTAGGAAGAGGAGACCCCTCCAAACTGTTACTCCCTCCAGGGACTGGAGTTAAAGGGGACCAGCTGACTTCTTGAATTTCCATTTCATTGTGATGTCTAAGAGATGGCCTCTTGTGGACATAGTGTTCGGCATCGTCTTACGTATCCCTGGGCTCTGACTGATGGAAATGCTAATGGTTGAACTTATCTCTGGACACCTAGCATCATAAAAATTTACTCACGTAACAAGAATAACTGGATGAGCAATAGGGTTAAAAAGAATTCCTTTCTCTCCTCAGCTCCCTGCTCTCCTGGAGACCAAGCCTACTGGCCTCACGTGTTCTGCTTAGGAGAACTGGATGCAGGCCTAGTGGGGCTGGTTTTATCCTCTCCTGCAGCAGATCAAGTTGCAAAATTAACAAGACCAGTGTAAGCCCTTCCTATAAGGACACTGCCTGACATGGGATGCAAGCTGGTGGGGATTAATTTGATAAGAAATAAAACACCTTCGGCACAGAAAAGTCTGGGCAAATCTTTATTGAAAATGTTTCCATCTTAGCAGAAAAAAACAGGAAGATCTCTAGAGGGAATACCAAGACATTTTGTCTCAAGATAAGAAGAAAAAAGACACCATTTAAATCTTAGCAAATACTTAAAGTACTTTATTTATTTGCTGGGTGTTGCCAGCTTAAACTCCCTTATGGAGGTGGCTTTTGCATCCTCTCATATCTTCATATAGTAAGCTGAAACTCTTGCATAGTATTTCTTATAGGAAACCAGGGCTTTTAATCAAAGTCTGAGATCTCCTCATCCTTGCCTCTTCATCACTGCCACCAATGAAGATGTAAATTTATACCTAAAATCTTTTCTAAGATTTTAAATCTAAAAATTAAGTCAATAAAAATAAGATATTTGTATTGGGATTTTAGACAGATACTGAGCAATTTGAGTCAAAATAAATCCAAAGCAGAAAAAATCCAAAAAAAGGCAACTTTCTCCAGTTTTTATTTATAATGGCTAAGAAACCATTATTTGACCATCAATGTCAAAGAAATGATCATTTCCCAGAAAAGTCCATGACATCTACGTGGATTCCATCAACTACTGTGTCTGCCTACTAGTGGCAGTCGTGTCATTAGCAGACAGATGTGCCAGTTCTCAAAGCACACACCACTGTCAGGAGCTAAGCACTGGTGGTGACAACTGTGCTCAGGCTCCTGCAAATCTGAAGTTTCTCCAGCAAAAAAATAAACATTGAAATGACAGCTAATGGTACTTTTGTCTGAGGCTCTAGAAGCCTCCAGCATGGATGGCGCTTGAGGAAGAGGAATTGGTTCCACATAATCATGGCTTATGGAGGTTTTTAAGACACTAAAGAAGTACATGTGACAGCACTAAGCAAGGACCCAGTCACCACTGGGCTTCTGAAGATCTTGGCCTACACACAGCATCACAGAGGATCCAGACATGGGAAGAAGCAGTCAGACACAGCAATGATCCTATTTACAAAAGTTCGTCTTTCCTTGCAAGTATCCTCAAGGAGAGCAGCAAAACCACCTATTAAAGTCATATTTTTCTTAAGTTTATTCTCCTCTTTGGTAACCAAGTGATCTGGAGCTAAACCGTTCCACCATTCCTCAGCCTTCCTGCTCTCCCCAGAAAACCCAAACTTTCCCACCCCATCCCCACCATATATACACATGCCGTGTTCCCATTGCTCCTCTGTCCCTCTGACCCCACCACTGCCCTCTCTGATGTTCCTTTTTCTCCCCCACCCACCACCTTGCTGAGCCCCAGGCCTTGAGACTCAGCTGCCTAGACTGTAAATCTGGCTGGCTCTGAGAACAGCAAACAAAGGAACAACTGTGAGAACTGACAGCTCAAGGACTCTGGCACTAAGTCTGCCCTTGGAGGTGCTGGCAGGGCCAGTCTTCCCGCAGGGCACCCTACACATCTCTAAATGACAGAGGGCAGGGCATCACTGGCCTGAAGATGGCTCAGCAGGACCACTGGCTCCCACGAAGCAGTGGGCTCTGGAGAGAAGGGACCTTCTCCAGGAACGAAACGTGGCAGAAATGAAAGCACCTGGGCCACAGATTTGTCACCACTTGGCATCAATATTATTTCTAATATCCCTATAATTCCCTCCCCAAAAGAACAGAAATTAAACAAGAAATGAGAAAGGAAGAGGAAGGAAGGGAGGAAAGAAAGGAGGGAGCAGGAGGGAGGGAGGGAGGGGTCAAAGGAGGAAGGAAGGAAGGAAAGTCTACAATTCTAGTTTTGCATAGAAAGTGTAGTTATGAAATGGCTACTCCAAACAAACATGAACCAGAGGCTGAATCCAGGCTCATTTTTAAACCCCAGTTTCAGGGAACAGGATTCTGTGGTGGGAGCCAGCCCTAAAAGCCTTCCACGGAAAGCGTGTGGTTGAGCGCGTAGGCGTCGCTATCCTCCTCCTCCAAAAGCAGCTTGTCGATGGTCAGGGAACTGATGGCTCTCCTGGGGTCTTCCATGTCCGGAAGGACTGGCTCAGGGATAGAGATGGGCAGCTGGACAAACTGGGGCCCAGGCAGGGCTGGGGCCGGAGGCTGGTACTGCAGAGTGGAGGTGGGCAATGTGGACAGGGGCTGAGGCCACGGGAAATAGGTGAGGGGTGCCTGGTGCTCTGGGCCCTCCAGTTGGGGTCCCACTGTGGGCGTGCCAGCACTTCTCGTCTGTGATGGGGAAGACACAGGATCGAGCGTTAGCATCCCTGCGGTATCCACTGCCCATCTGTGTCCTCGTGGGAACCTCTATTCCCCCCTCAACTTGGCCCTTTCCTGCTTTCTCACGCCAGAGGGCTCCCCTACCACCTGCTCAAAGTCTTCCCCAAGGGAGAACCCAGACACACTTCAGCTGTATCCCTGACTCTGTCACTCACTAGCTATATGTCCTTGCTCAAGCTGCTTCCCCAAGCCTCCATTGTCTCACCTATAACATAGGCTACAAATAGGACTGACAGCAAGCCTGTCTCATAGCACAGTAGCTGTATCAGAAAGGTGGCCGCTTCCTGCCCAGACACAAAGAGAGTCCTGGCTCCACACAGCAGCTTCAAAATCCTGAGGTCCACTTGGGCCAACATAGCTCCACTCACCTGCCACCTGCCCTGCTGGTGATCAGCACAGGGAGGCTAGGCCACACCTGGAGGCTGGGGAAGCCCTGCTTTGTTAGTGACCTTGGCTTTTCCTACAGCTGCCCGGAACCTTCCAGGTCCTCATCCTCCTGTCTCTGAGTTGGGTCCCCAAGGGCGTCCCAGGGACCTCCAAAGATCAGGGCCATTCTCTCAGATGCTCTTCAAACAATACGCACCTGCGCAGTGACCCCCCCTACAAACGTGAGGTCAAGCCTACAAAAGAGGCAGGGCCTGGATTCTTACTATATTCCACAGCAGAGGAAGCAGGCGGAAGAGGAAGATCCTTGAATGGAATGATGTAAGAGTGGACAAAAATCTTCCCCTACGGCCCCTACCTCCCCCATCATATCTTTCTCCAGTTGCCACTGTGTCTTGAGAGTAAACCATTAGAGTCGTTTAGGTAAGGGTTTATTTCAATCTCCTGAGGATCTTGTTGCAGGGCAGATTCTGGGACAGGGGGTCTGGGCTGGGGCCTGGGATTCTGCATGTCAGATCAGATCCCAGGTGATGCCAGTGTGGCTAATCCAGGGACCACAGTTCGAGTAGCAAGGCTTCAGAGCATTTTTCTACCGAATGATGGAGGTGGAAAGGGTCTCAGAGGCCTTTCAGCCTCCCAACAAAGCCTTATCATCTCTAGTACTTCAAAACTCCAAGTGGAAATCTTACTTTCTCAAGTCCTACACCTGTGCAGGTCAAGTGCAACTGCAGGTTTCTTTGCTCAGGGGTAGAATTGTATGAGCCCAGCCATAATCTTATCTCCTGCTGATCAGGAGTGCCGATTGGTGGCTCTAGCCAGCTTTGATGAGTTAATTTACAAAATGGCAAAACAAATAAATTATTTCTTAATAAATACAGTTTGTTTGATACACAGAACCTTTCAAAGCAGAAGGTGGGAATGATGAAAGGATAAATAACAAAAGGAATTCTTGGGATTGAAATGGTTGGGAACCATTGTGTCCACCCTCACCCCACCCCCACCCCCACCCCAGGCTCCCTGATATGGAAATGAGTTGCCTGGGAGAGGTGTTGCATTAACTCCTTCCTATCTACCATCATCCAGGCCCTACAGCTGGTTTGCCCTGGTAGACAGGTGGGCACCGGGTGGGAGGGCTCCTGTAGGCCATGCCTGAATGGTGCTTGAAGAGCAGGTGCATCATGACACTGGACCCTTGATGGAAACGGAGGGGACATGGGGAGCCAACGCAAGCTCCACCATCAAGGGTCGGCTCTGCAGCAACTCATGAGATGCTAACCCTACCTTGCACAGTTTTCCTTGGACGGAGCTGGATCACCTGTGCCTTTTCTCCTCTGAACACTTGGAGGATTCCCACTCCTTTGGTCAAACAAGTGCCATTCACATGAAACTATTTCTCCTCCTTCCTCCATTCCTGAGGGAGCAGACCCTTCCTCTCCCATCTGACACTTGAAGGCAGCCCTTGGTTAATGTCGTTGGTTGACTTTGAGACAATATAACTAATGTTTATTGAGTGGTTTCTGTATGCCAGGAACTATACTAAGCCCTCTACATGCATCACCCCATTTGTTCCTGACATCAGCTCCCTCGTTAATATTCTCGTTTTATAGATGAGGACACTGAGGCTCAGAGAAATTAAGTCATTCATCCCAGGGTCACACAGCTAGTAAATGAAAGGGTGGGGATTTGAACGCAGGCAATCTGACACTAGAGGCAGAACTCAAAAAGTTGCCCTGCAGGTGGGTGTGACCCTATCAAAAGTAGTTTTCTGAAAAGTTGTGTCGCCTGTTTCTCAGCCTAAAAATCTTCTGGAATATCCCATTGTTTAGTGAACGATCAACCCCTAAGTTATCTGAATAGAAAGGAAACAGTCTCTGGCCCAAAACTCCATGCAGATCTCACCTGGTAGCCCATTCACTAAAAACTCAGACTCGTAACCAGGACTCACTGCTTTTAGGGTGGTGGGGGAGAGAGGCAGGAGAACATCCCAACCCTGAGGAGCATGAGGCAGGACAAGGGAGTCCCGAGGCCTTCTTTGTGGAAGATATTTTAGGTCAATGGGAAAAAAGCGGGCCTCCCTGGAGGACGGGGTGGGTTTAGATGACCCAATTATCCCGGGAATAGCAATAGCAAGGAGGGTCAGGGGTCAGGAAGTCAGCCCAGAGTCTACAGGGTGCCCTCAGCGTGGGATGGCGCAGCATTGCCTTTGTGTGACATACCGTGACATTAGTGATGAGCGGCTGGGAGGCATAGGTCAGCACGGAGGAGGGTCCCACAACCGTGTAGCTTGGGCACACAGGCTGCACATACATGTCAGCTGAGTAGGGGCAGCTGACAGCTTCATGGGACACATACTCAGTGTAGGGCGTCCATGGGGCTAGGGGCTGGAGGGTGGCCGGGGCAGGCTGGGAGAGCCAACCGGTACACAGGGCCCCCTCCTCTGTCACTGTGGAAGCAGAGACCTCCATGTCAAGGCAGGAAGGACCTGTGGGAAGAAGGAAATCACAGAGCTGTGAGTGTCACCCAGATGAGGCGCCTGGAGGAGGCCAGGGCTGTGGGGGCTCTTACCCACTGTGGTGTAGGTCGCCAGAGGCTGGTGGGGCAGCACCACCTAGAGGGGAGAAGAGAAGACCAGGATCAGTGTTCAGCCGTGTCCAACTAGCCCTCTGTAGGAAACTAGCCCAGAGGGCCCCAGGGCAGGAGAGCATAGTGGGAATCTCCCTTGTTAGAACGAAACACCCAGCCCAGGTCCCAACTATCACCACCTACATTTTTGAGGGATTCGTGTTTCCATTTAGCAAGGAGGCTGTGCACTTGGGGAACTGGCATTGTCCTCTTCCCATGGGGAACCCCCAACTCACACCAGAATGTGTGAGTCACTTGCTCCCCAGGCCCTGGCCATAGCTTTGTTCAGTGGGCCAAGCCGGCCAGCCCATATCACTCACCCCACTTCACCGGACCATTGACTTGTTCTACCCTAGGTCCATTCCCCAGCAGCCACACCATGGCAACGTGTTGCCTTCGTACCCTCAATAGGTATCCCATGGAGCAAGGAAGTACATCCTATCTGACCCCTTGGGCCACCCTCCCTGCCACACACGCACACACTCTCTGGCCACAGTGGCCCCCTCACCGCAGTAGGTGCAACCGCCGTCCCACTGCTGGCATGACCGCGTTTCCTCCTCAGCAGCTCCTTCACTGGCTCCTTCACACGGACACCCTGGTACGGCCGGGGTTGGGCCGGGGCTTGCTCTGGAGCTGTAGCTGTGAAAAGCAATGTCACTGGTGCTCATTTCCCTTCTCAGACAAGCCCCCACCCCAATGAACCCCGTCTCCTTAGGGGTCTGCCTGCTCACCTAAGCTGTGCCTGGACACGGAGGAACACATGAGACTTCCTAAACTATTTCTCCCAGTATTGCCACTCTTCCCGCCTCAAACCTTCTACGGCTCCCCTTCACCCAGACGGTTAATACCCACACCTAGTCTAGAAGTGAAAGTCCCCCACACTGTGATCTCAACCCATTTTTCCAACCACTTTGCACACTAACCGCTATGAACATCCTGACTCCGGCCAGAAGCTCTATCTAGACTTCCCTCCATGTTCCTTGCATGTCTGACCTTCTCATCTCATTTGAGATTTCCCATGGTCAGGCTTCCCTCTCACTATTCTCAACCTCTTGATTCTTCCTGATCCGAGACTAGTGCAACCCTCCTGGGCCTTGACCACTGCAGCCACAGCATTTGATTCCTCCTACAACATCTCAAACACTTCCACATCTGGTTAGTGTTCATCACAGGGGGCAGCAGAGAACGGCGTAAGAGCGTGCACTCTGAGTCAGATGGCACAGGCCTCAAAACCTGCCCCTGCCACACTCTAGCTGTGCAATTCTGGGCAAGTTACTAAACCTCTCTGTGCCTCTTAACCTGCATCTTGTTATCAAAGGCGTGTTGTAAGGAGTCGCTGACGTGGTAAATAGGAAGCACAGTATATGCTTAGTATAAAATCAGCTACAGAGTAAGCATTCAAAAATTGTGTAGCCTGCTATATAATAACTAGTAATCCTTTTTGGTGTAAATTTCATATGCCCCTAATTGGATTACAAACTTCTCAAGGTGAGATATTGTACCCTATTTCTCTGTATCTTCCCACATAGCATGTTCATAATAAGCTCAGTAAGTTATTTGTTGATTAATTGGTTGGATGATTGTTTAAAATGCGCTGCCATCCATCTTCCCTTTACCTCTCCTGGACCTTTAGAATGGGCTGCAGAGAATGGTTCCCAGGTTCTTTGTGGCTCCCAAGACACAGGCAAATACCTAGCGTGATCCGTGTGCCCTGGGGCCAGAGGGTGTCCAGGCTTGCTGCTGAGAGAAGGTTCCCTCTGCCTTTTGTCACCAAAGCCAGGAAACCAAAGCACCAAGCTGGAACACAGGGCTCTTCCTGGCCAGGAGAGCAAGCCAAAAGCAGCCATGGCCGGGCAGACAATCTGCCCACCCAGACAGCTCACGGCCTGGGGCCCTGGGCCCTTGAAGGGCAGGTCAGGGTCAGCCAAGAGAGGCGAGTAGCACTGGCCCTTAGGACTCACACAGGGAGTCCATTGTCATCCACCGATAAGGGCCCCAGGGACCTGGGTTCTGAATCAAAGGCCCGGAAGCCTAGGTATCTATTAAACCCAGATCTGCAGTGCTGCCCTGGCTGGACTTTGCTCAGCAAATACCCAGCTGATAAGAACCTATGCCTCACTCAGCACCAGACCTCCATCCATGCTCCGGGCAAACACACAGCCTGCCCTCGAAGACCGTCAGGCAGAGAGAGGAGCAGGAAGAGGGAGAAGGTGTCCAAGAGCCCCAGGAAGACAGGCCGCAGAGTCAGAGAACCCCAGACTCAGATGCACCCGCAGGGGCCTCCTGGCCTGGCCAAGTAGCAAAATGGACCAGGGAGTGATGCAAATACAGATACCCAGGCCCTGCTCCCAGCTGATTCTGGGGGTCTGATGGAGGCCTAGGAATCTATGTTTATAAAAATCCCTCAGGTGATTCTGAAGCTCCATTGGGATTAGAACCACTGATAATTCATCCCAGATCTAATATAAGAATCTCCCTCTAAAATCCCAATAGGAGATTAATTATCCTCTTTTTAACTTCTGCTGTCATAACAAGAGATCTCTACTAGTATTCATTCATTCTTTCAAATATCCCCGGGCCCTAGGAATACAGCACTGAACGAGATAGATGTGGTCCCTGCCCATGTGCATCTTGCAGCCTTGGGGGAGAGACAAGCAATAAAACAGTTACAACTTGTGAAATTCAGGCTGAAACAGAAGTATACAGCAGAGATCCAGCCAGGTACCTCTGCCCCAGGCCCACCTGTGCACCATCACCTTTGCTTAAGCAACAATGACAATGGACTTGAGAGCCAAAATACCTGTATTCAAGTCTGGGCTGTCACTTACTGGTGGAAAGCTCTCAGACGATTTATCTAACATTCCTGGGCCTCAATTTCCTCATCTGTAAAATGGGGATAATAATTCCTGTCTCACACAATTGTCGTGAGGATTAACTGAGATAATACATGGGAAGCTCCCAAAGCCACATCCAGCATATGGTAGATGTTCAATACATGTTATTTTCCACCCACTTCTACCTTTCTCTGGAGAGCTGTAATGTCAGAAAGCTCTTCCTCCTACTGGACCTACCTCATGGTTATAAGCACCATTTTTCCTTGCATTTCCTTCTAATGAAACTCACAATTCATAGTCCACTTACATCTTTCTCATCTAAAAAATGATGATCATAATGGTAGGTACCTGGTAGGGTAATTTGAGAATTACATGTAAATGCTTAAAACAGAGCTTGCACTGATAAGCAGCGAATAAATGTGAAGTAATGTTATTAGTAGTACTAGCAGTAGCATCCCTTTTTAGCGTCTGAAGACAGATACCAGGTCCCCTGTAGAGTGAATGAACATCCTGTTCCTTCAGCCACTTCTTAATGACATGTTTGAATCCCTCTAACCTTCCTTCTAAGAGACTCACTCCTGCACAAGTTCCATTTGCCACGTCCCCTTATAATGGACGATGTCCAGTGTTGACCACAGACCCCAGGGGTGACCTGATATGGCAGAGAAACAAGGGCACCTGTCCTCTCACACTCTGCTCCCTCGTTCTCAGGGTCACCCATGGCCACATCAGCTTAGTTCACACCCGTATTACTCAGCCTACGCTTTTCTTCGGTTGGGTTTCCAGCTATTTTTAGGCACAAAGAGCAGCCTGAGGCATTGTGCACTTGGCAGAAACTCGGGGGACAGAGTTATTTGGGGGTGTGAGCACTTTGGTCACAGTTTTAAATAAGTTGGGGACAAGAAAGGCTTAATCCCACATGCACACGTCTCAGACCAGATCAAAGACCTGTATATGGCTAATCCTGCTCTGATGTGCATGTGCATTTCTGGGGAAGGGCCCAGAGGACTCCCCATCCTCGGGAAGTGGACACATCGAACACTTGACTGCAAAGAGGCCAGCTGGGCATTTCCAGGGTCTTGTCAAGCGAGGGCTTCCTGCCTCCTGTTGTTTTCGAATCAGTGAACAGAGGGCTGGGGGAGGTGCTGTGAGCAGAGGGTATCACCCTCCACTGTCTGGACTTCCTCGGAACCCACAGTGTCAATAGGTGTGCCCTGGCACAACGACCATATGGAAAGCAGTTTCTAAGTCCCCACCTCTTCCTCTTGCAGTCACAAAACTCCCAAATCTCCCAAGGATCTCCTGACTGCCCACCCACGAGTCCAGTCCACAACCAGCTGCCAAGGAATCCTGTAACTGACTCCAGGTGACTAAGCGAGAGTGAGGGTGCTTCTGATAGTGTCTTTGCAAAGTGCCCGTGAAATATCAGACTCTGAAGCCTCAGGACAATTCCCAAAGGAGCCTAACGGCCAAGTGCACTTGCAAGGTGAGCACTTGCACTTGGTGCCTTTCACACCAACCTTTGTGAAGCAACAATAAACATTACTAATCCCACAGTAAACACTGTACTCCCTCCTGCCACCAGCATGGGAAAAGAGCCCACACATACAAATCTGGAAGAGGAAAAGAAGTTTGTCTGAAATCCTGACTGTTTCACCTTGGGGCTCCTGGATCCCTAAAATGAGCTAGCTTTAAAATGACTGAACTGGAATATTTAAAAGAAAAAATTTTAAATTATTAAAATAATTTCTTAAAAGAATAATAAATAGAAGAATAACCAAAGAAAACAAAACAGTTGATGGAAATAATAATACACAAGCAGAGAAGATGAAAGCCCCATTTCCCAAAGTAGAGTTGGTCAGAGATTTTTTTTTTTTTAGTGAGGAAGGTTGGCCCTGAGCTAACATCTGTTGCCAATCTTCCTCTTTTTGCTTCAGCAAGATTGTCCCTGAGCTAACATCTGTGCCAATCTTCCTCTATTTTATATGTGGGATGCCGCCACAGCATGGCTTGATGAGCAGTATGTGGGCCTGCACCCAGAACCCAAACCCACCAACCCTGGGCTGCTGAAGCAGAGCACATGAACTTAACCACTACACCCTTTGGCCAGAGATTTTAATAACCCCTTGATCAAATTGCAGCTCCGGGCAGCATGCCCTCAAAGCCCGAAGCTTTCTCACCATTTATCCTGTGGTCTGAAGGCCCTTTTCGTCTCCTGTGGGCATCCAAGTGTCCGTCACTGAGAAAAATCTTTCGACCTAAACACCAGCCTCTTGGCCTTCATTGGAATCTCCTTTTTCAGACTGAGAAGTTCAGCCATATTGTTTTTCCATACCCCTGGAAGTCAGTCACCAATGGGGTTGGGAAAAAACAAAACTCACTTACAGAAAAACCTACAAATTTGGCCCCAGTGAGGGCTTCCCTTTTCCAAAATGAGCAATGAAAAAATCTGAAGGTATAAAAAGTCAGCAGAGGACATTTCAGTTCCGCCTGCCACACAACCAGACATGCTCCGCATCACAAAAATAAGAGTCGCGCAGCTGCTGTTCTGCTGGAGAGCACAGACCATGACAGATTCAAGCCGTCTGGTCACCTCAGACAGTGCTCTGGCTGCATGTGGGCATTGTGCTTGCTTTGCCCCAAGCTTAGGGAACACATGGAGTCTACTGATTTAAATAAACATGGCCCTCCAATTCCTTGATAAAGGTATAATAAGCATCACCGAGGAAATATGCAAAATTGTCATCACTTGTTTATTTAATAACCCCATGCAAACCACATTCACGCCACAGTGAGAAAGCTACT